TGGCATCGTACCTTCACTTCGGTCTTCTTCGGTGTTCAGTGTTCACCATTGAGTCACAGTCACAGTCTAATATAAATACCCCCGCCGCAGCAAACCTGCCGACTAAGCGAATTTCTATTTGTCTGAATTGATTTTCAGTTAAATATATTTTAATAACATTAGGTTTAACGAGTACCTAGGTTTGCTGCTACAAGGAAACTAATAAAGTGTGTTTTTGAGTAAAATATTGATAGCTTAGTACAAAATAAATAAATTTGCCAAGTTTGATCAAAATATATCCATAAAAAAGCAAACTACAACATTTGACAATATTCTCCATAAGAATAACATGGGAATTTTAAATTTACAATTTTTTTAATTTTCTCCGTTACTAACAATCGAGCAAAAATACTTTTATATACTAAATTATTTGTTTTTTTAAGCTCTTTAAAAAGGTCTAAAGAGAAATTGGGAAATTTTGTGTTTTGAGGGTCAAAAGTGAGAAAAACCAATTTTTACCCCATAAAACCCCCCGTAAAGCCCCGTTCCCATGGTCCGATCGTGCTGGTTCGCGAACTCATTCAAGTTTATCCCGCTTTACGCCTTTAAACCAAATTTCATCAAAATCGGACAAAAATTACTCAAGTTATCGCGTTCACGGACGTATATATATATATATATATATATATGTCTATATATATATATACATATATAAAAATTTGAACGAATGGTGTTTTTGGCCTCTGGGGACATCAAAATGAAAAAGTAAATCGGTCCCGGGTCTAGGTCTTACCGTGCCACCTACGGTAATAGCTACTTCCCTATAGGGAAATTCGCTAATAAACTGAGTTTTGATTTGAGTTTGATTGAGTTTAGTGTTATTGAGTTGTTGAGTTGAGATACCGTCAAACGTCAGTGAGTCAATCCAATGAGTCAGTGTGGTACGGTACAGTAGGCAGAGTCCAGTCCAGTTCAGTATTCACTATATTCATTCAGTCAGTCAAGTCGGTTTTCATTTCAGTTTCAGTTAGGGAGAAGCTGTCAAGACGTCAGGTTGGGTGTGAAGTTGTCGGCTGTGCGGCTTTGTTCGTTTAAGTTTATTGTCGAAAGTAAAGTACAGGTACTGATAATTATCATCAGTAATCGACTACTAATAATTTGAAGATGGCTGCTGTGGAGGTTGAGAGGAATACTGTAAGTAGGCAACAAACACCTACTTATATAACAATATAAAGTATATAACAATAGATAGATATTAATGACGATTGTATAACTGGGCTTGGTGACGTGACTCGCCTTCTTAGAAAACTCCGAGAGCTTGTCCAGCGGATATAAATTAAGCTGAGACTTCTAATATTTACAGCTAAATATTTATCTACAATGAGTCTAAATATAGCCTAGTGGTGATTTGAAGGGTTAAATTTTAGGTAATTATATCGACCTCCGGACCTCACACGAAATTAAAAATTATTTTTTTCAAAATGATCGAAATTTTACGCTGATTTCAAAAATAATTGTCGTTTTTTTCGGAAACGTCCCGTTTTCCCGGAAAATGGGAAAAACGGGAAAAATATTTTTTGTTCAAAACCCATGGTGTGGGTACTCAAATTATGCGGAATTTCCTCTTGAACAAGAATATGTAAATTTTATTACGATCGGACCACTATTAAGTAAAATATCACCGAAAAACGGGAAAACGGGGAATTTTTTTTTACTCAAAACCCATGTTATGGGTACTCAAATTGTGCGGAATTTCATGCTGAACAAGAATATGTAGTTTTTATTACGATCGCTTTTAAGTAAAACACCACCGGACAGGTTAACTAACCTAACATAACCTAACTTAGGTTTAGATTAGGTTATGTTAGGTTAGGATAGGTTAGTTTAGGTTAGGTTAGGTTGGTTTAGGTTAGGTTGAGTTTTTTTAGGTTAGGTTAGGTTAAGTTTGGTTGGGTTAGGTTAGTTTACTTACAATACTCATGTTATTGATAAACTAATAACGAAAATAACTTAGGAACTTAGGTTAGGTTAGGATAAGTTAGTTTAGGTTAGGTTAGTTTAAGTTAGATTAGGTTTGGTTGGTTTAGGTTAGGTTAGGTAAGGTTAGGTTAGTATTGTAAGTAAGCTAACCTAAACTAACCTAACCTAACCAAACTTAACCTAAACTAACCTAACCAAACTTAACCTAAACTAACCTATCCTAACCTAAGTTCGTAAGTTAGGTTAGGTTGGGCTAGTTTATCAATAATATGAGTATTGTAAATAAACTAACCTAAACTAACCTAACCTAACATAACCTAACCTAACCAAACTTAACCTAACCTAACCAAACTTAACCTAACCTAACCTAAAAAAACTCAACCCAACCTAACCTAACCTAACCTAAACTAACCTAACCAAACTTAACCTAAACTAACCTAACCTAAACTAACCTAACCTAAGTTCGTAAGTTAGGTTAGGTTGGGTTAGTTTATCAATAATATGAGTATTGTAAATAAACTAACCTAACCTAACCAAACTTAACCTAACCAAACTTAACCTAACCTAACCAAACTTAACCTAACCTAAACCAACCTAACCTAACTTAACCTAACCTAACCTAAACTAACCTAATATAAACCTAAGTTAGGTTATGTTAGGTTAGTTAACCTGTCCGGTGGTGTTTTACTTAAAAGCGATCGTAATAAAAACTACATATTCTTGTTCAGCATGAAATTCCGCACAATTTGAGTACTCACAACATGGGTTTTGAGCAAAAAAAAAATTCCCCGTTTTCCCGTGATATTTTACTTAATAGTGGTCCGATCGTAATAAAATTTACATATTCTTGTTCAGAAGGAAATTCCGCATAATTTGAGTACCCACACCATGGGTTTTGAAAAAAAAATATTTTTCCCGTTTTTCCCATTTTCCGGGAAAACGGGACGTTTCCGAAAAAATGACAATTATTTTTGAAATCAGCGTGAAATTTCGATCATTTTTAAAAAACAAATTTTTAATTTCGTGTGAGGTCCGGAGGTCGATATAATTACCAAATTTTAGATTCATCACTTTGATCAATTTCACACTTTAGGACTAGGCCTAGGCCTAGGCTAACTCTTGAATCCAAATAAGCTACAATTTTTTTACCGCAGAGGCAAATATTTACCGTATTTACACTGGGGTATGATGTAATTTTTATATATCTAACTTACTTACAGTTATTTTTAACGCTGAATCCAAAAGTGCAATCAGTTTTTGTCGGAGAGATTCCTAAGTGGCCGTAGTGGCTGTAAAACGAAGGTTAGTATTACGAATCTAAGTATAATTGAGCGCTACTGAAGGTAATTGTAATGGTAATATGGCGTGGTCTGGGCGGGTCCGTAGGCCTACTGAGTGAAGAGTGAGGAGTAGGCCTAAGGACTGAGTGAGAAGAGCAAACAACTGTTAATACTTGATCTAATGCGGAATGAAATCAAATCAATTCGTTTTGAAACCAAATAATCAGTTCTTATTCAGGCATGTGAGGAAGGTAGGTCGGGTTTTATGCGGATTCGTGACTGTATTAAGTGTTTTGAAGTGAGGTTAGATTAGGAAGGTAAAGGTTAGGTTATAATGAAGCGACTCATTAACCCTCCGAATCTCATGCGTCGCTGCAGCGACGCGTAACACACTTTGTGTAGTGTCATGCGTCGCTGCAGCGACTCACGAACACTGTTTACGGCGAAGGCTCTATGACTGACAAAATCGGATTGAACTGGATCGAGTTAGGTATCGTTCTTTTTGTAATATTCTAAGCTTTCTCCAGAGGTCTGTCTCTAAGCGCTGTATGTTCTCCGAGCCGAACGTAATTGTAGCATACAGCTGACGTGCGTATTTGTAAACAGGTTAGTTAACCTCGACCGATGACTGATGTGTTTTATTATGTTTATCATTGTTTTAGTGTTAAAAATCAAAAGTAGTGATATACGTGGTGCATTATAAGAAGATTTAAGTGATTTTGAAGGGTTGGTTGATGATCCTGAAGAAGTAGGTAGTGATATTGATGTAAATTATCAGCCAGATTCCTAGCTATGGTTAGGCTATGCATTCTTAGCTAAAAGCTATGTACTGAAATCTGTTTTTTGCCCATAACTTATTTATTTGCAAATCTACTTCCTTATATTATTATATATTTGTAATCCTCATAAAATTTAGAACAAATTGGCTATTTTCAAATATTTATAGGCCTATAATTTATTCAATTTCATTGAGCGCGAACCAACTTATTTTTTTTCAATTTTTCCAAAATTATTTTTTATTTTTGCCTAAAAAATTTTTTTTGAAAAAAATATTCCTTAGGTTTTATGTATGATATTGAAGCCCATGATTTTCCAAACAAAATGGTATATAGAACAGTAGAATTAACATTGTTTTAAGCTTTTCAGATCCGTTTTAATAAAACCTTGCAAATGCGCCAAAAATAGGCAGACATTAAGGCCAAAACAAGGGACACTCGGAGGGTTAATTTATGCAACTTCCAGGCTGTTTTTGCACAATTATATAGTGGGTGAAACACAATGAAATAACAATATTAAAAATGCGCAAGCATCAAAGTTAGGCCTACATAAAATCCCAGTGTAAATAGGGTAAATAATTACCACCGCAGATGAATATTGATATCCCCATTCAAATATAGGCCTACAAATATTCTTATCTTAACTATGATTCTGTCATTGGCTCTAGGCCAAGGGGTTTCTGTACCGTTAGTCAATGATGTTTTCCATAGGGAATATCATTGCATTATGGAGGTATAGACAGACTGGCGGACTAGGCCTAATTAATACATCTAGGCCTAGTTCTTATTTAGGCATCGCCTTAATGCCTGTCGGTCGAGCTTTATGCAAATTTATTTATATCAACGGATACCTAAGTTACACCATTTAAGTACCTACAAAATAATAATTTAGGACTGTATCAAGTATTTTGAAGTTATTGGTTATAATAGGAAAACAAAGCGTAGGTTTTTAAAATACTTACATTTTTAAATAGGTAGCCTAGTGTATTGAATTTTTTAACCTTTTAGTTTTTAAACAATAAAAGTATACAGTAGATTCAATTGATAGGCCTAACTCAGCTTAGCCTAGGCCTAACCAAAACCCAATCACATGTTGCAATCAATAAAATTATGATTGAGTCATATCAAAGTTATACCCACTAGGAAAAAACAGTTAGGTTTTAAAAGCTACAAGCTTATAACTTATAATTCTTTAAATGCTTTAATTGAAGAAAAAAAAAACTCTTTGTTTCAATTGTTCCAAAACAGTCTGCATGTACCTAACAAAAATCATTTGGTTCATTGCAACTTATCTATAAGTTACCTCACCTAATCTATTTTCTAGTTCATAGTTGGCGTTTCTTACATTAAAGAACCCTAATTAAAACCCTTTTCTTCAAGCCTTAAAATGTATTTAAATAAATTTTAACGTCTTTGTTTTTCAGGTGGAGAACAATATTAGAACACTCCCATTGTCGGGCCACGTCGGGTTTGATAATCTTCCTGACCAGCTTGTCAATAAGAGTGTTCAAAATGGCTTCATCTTCAACATTCTCTGCATTGGTATGTGATATTTTTAACTGAATTTTTAACCAGAATTTTGGAGTTTCTATTTTTATTCTCATCTTCTTTTTGACCAACCCTTCCTGGACAAGTGAGGAATATTATTTGTTTAATTTGTAGACATTGAAGGTTGTGTGATAGATATCCACATAAGTTACTTAGATCCTCGTGGATCGTAATTAGTGTTGTTAGTCGATGCTGGGGTAGGGAAGTGGATATTTCCGCTAATAGTTTTGATAGACTGGTTGGTTCATATAATCACCTTCTGGATTTGTCACCTATGACAGGTATATAGATTCATTTTTTTTAACCTTTTTGAAGCTTTTTTGTAATTTTCCAAAATAAAACGAGTTAATTACTTATTTTGTCCGATGAGTGCTAATCTTGCCACAAGGGCAAAGTCTAGTGTGCAAGGGAAAAAATCTGTAAATTATAAATTGCTCAAAAGTGCTAAGGAACGTAATATTGGGCCTCGATCGTATGAGGTTTCGAATGAAACCATCGCAGTTTCGAAACAACACCCGAGTCAACCAATATGCCCATATACTATTCAGATGAAGCGCGAACACCAATATATTGTTCTATAGCACTTTTCGGGTAAAAGACGCACAACAATAGGCCTATATCGTCGCATCTATCACTGAAAGGGTTAAGTGGTTAATTTTTCTACAAAGGTGTCTTCACCCGAATTTTTAATTTTGATATCTTAATCTGAAGTTCTTTCCATCATGAATCCTATGATACCATACTAAACCACAAATGAATATGACTACCCTAGCTTAATAGGCCTACTATAGTGGAATAGATTACAGAATAGGACCGGAACCAGTTCGAGTCGGGTGGGGTGAGGGCAAGCGGTATCCAATAAGCTTTCAGAAAACTGTCCACTGTTGCCAAGTTGTGCCACGCGCTCAGTCTTTGCCCGACAGCCGACCTGTGCGTTTCGAGCATATCCTCTGGTTTGGTCAAGAAATTGCCTTAAAGTGCGTTTATAATTTCGAAACAGGCCAGTAACAAAGCTACAAAAGGCATCTCACTCCATTCTACACTCATCCTTCACTCACATTTAGGTTAAAATATGCTCATAGGTGATGTCCCCATCTCAAATGAATAATTAATATGGTAGATTTTATCCTCTTCATTTCCATGTTAATTTTGTTTCGTGTATCAAACAATAAGCTGAGCAATATTTTAGAAGATTTTTAGAACTGCTATATAAATTGTTTGGTCATATAATGTTACTGATAAATTTATTAATTTTCTGTTTATATATTTTTCAAAAACTGCATTTGGTAGCTGTTTGAGCCATTTTAAAGACAATTGTACAGTATAGCAAATAATCAAACCATAATAATTCTGGATTAAATCTAAATCAGAAATATGTTGATGGGTCATATCCAACATTATTTGGTCAAACTTTCTTCTACATTACGCAGAGGGAAATTGTTACCTCAATATTACATACACTGTATAGCCAATATAAACTTCAACAATGATCTGTATAACGATCATTAAAGGTATGGGATGAATTTTGTGTTCCATACGATATAAAAAAACAATACTAACCAATACCACCAAGAACAAATAAAGTATTAATTTGTAGTGTTGAACTGAACTACCCTACAAGTGGGACGTTAGAGGGGGGTGCCGGGCTCTAGGTGAAAGTCAGCTCACCGGCCAAGAACGACGTGGCAACGTCGCATCCCCTACCTCTTCAAAGGCCAGTCCTATTCTGTAATCTATTCCACTATAGGTGATATCACTGTTCAAATTCTGTGAACAACTTTTGGAGTTCTAGTTGTCATCGGCATTAGGCCTAATGGTGTCACTTCCCTATGGCTTGAATACTATTACTGGGCTGCAAAGTGAAGATGCGGTGAAAAAGAGTTAGAGAGAATAAAAAAAAATAAAAAAAAAACTGTTATATCACATGGGACTTTGGTCCCTGAAGTCCCACGTTCAAATCCCACCAGTTTACATTATCTAAGTGATAATGCCGCAACCCCTAGAGGTAGTGTGATAAACCCTGGGGGGGGGGGAATTCTGAAGTAGTGAAAAACGATCACATAGGCCCTAATATGTTTAAAAAAATGCAGACAGGCCTAATTAAGTTTGGAAGGTAAACTATTGATATAATTAGACACATCCCCATGCCAATGTTGTTGTTAGGTTTTAATTTTAAATTATCATACTTAAAACGACTCTGTACTTTTAAAAATAATCTTATTTGTCAATTTTATGTTTAGAAATTGTTTAATAATTTTTAATAAAATGTAGTAGTAGGCTGTGTATGAATAAAAGATACGTGTTCAACAATTCTGTGAAATTAAACAAATTTTAAAGAAAAAAGTAGTGTAAAGTAACATTTAGATTTAATAATATTTTTTGTCTCGAAGAAGATTAGTCTTTATTGACCCTCAGAAAATGTCAGCCCAAAGTTGCCCTTTGATGACATTTATATTTTACAAGGGGTGTAATCCTCCCGCAACTGTTGTTTGGAGTTGTTGCGTAAACTTTATAGATAGGCTACAAAACAAAATGGAACCATTAATGTATCAATTTTATCATAGGCTAATTAATTAGAACAATTTTCCACTTATAAATTAATGTTTTTACATCATAAATTCATATATTATGCAGTAAAAAGTTATTATAGTTCCTAAAACAGTTGAGTTATTTAATTTAATATTTTTAGGTCCTATACAGTTTTTTTAAATAGGACATAGAGGACAGCTAATGGTCACCTAATGTACATAGTATCTAAAAAGCGGTTTCCATATCGATGTCCATTTATATGATGTCTGTGGTCCAATTTTCATTAAATTTGTATTCAAGTGCTAATTTATTGTCTCTCCAGGCTTTTAATTTTTTTTTAATTTAAATTTTCAATTATGCTATGATTTTTTTTTTCAAAAAGGGGTAGGCCTACCTATAAAATATTAGAAATTTGTTTTTGCAAACTGCTTGCGATTTTGATTAAAATCAAGCACTTTATAGCCCTTAACTCAACAAAATCCATATTGCTGTTAAGATTACAGTTCGAAAGTTGTTTCAGCTTCTGTAATTTTCTCTATAAAATATCACAACTACTAGTACTCCTTGCCCATGATAAGTGTTGTTAACAATGGAAGAAAGAATAAAATTGCTGACATTGTTTATCTCCTAAGTACTTCTAAACAAGGACTCCTTCAAATGGTTGCAGTTTGAGAAAGTTAATTTTGATTTGTTTCACAGGAGAGACAGGCCTGGGAAAGTCTACGTTGATGGACTCATTGTTCAACACCAATTTTGAGTCGACCCCCAGCCCTCACACTTTACCTTCTGTCAAGCTTAAAGCTCACACTTACGAACTCCAAGAGAGCAATGTTCGGCTAAAGGTAAGCTAGTCAGATAGTAGTCAGTTAGTTATTTAACAAAATAGGATAAATCATACTGTTACCGAAGTGTCGCCTATTACCCTGGTAATACGTTACTGGGAATAGCCTATTATTTTAGGAACACCATCTGAAATGTTAATACCCCCGTCGCAGCAAACCTGCATACTAAGCGAATTTCCATTCACCCGGCTTGATTTCTACTAAAATATTCCCTATCAATTTTCATATTTATTTCCTATTTAAATAACATTAATTTTAGTGAGTAGTTAGGTTTGCTGCTACGGGAAAGATGTTGAGGTGTGTTTTTTCAATTGAAATATTGATAGCTTAGTATGAAATAAGCCAAATTGCCAAATTTGATTGAAATATATCCATAAACAAGCAAACTAGAACAGTTTATTTATTCTCCATAAGAATAACAAGGGAATTTTAAATTTACAATTTCTTTAATTTTCTCCGTAGTCAATGAACATTAAAAAAAACTTCAATATACTAAATTATTTGGTTTTTTAAGCTCTTCAAAATGGTCTTGAGAGAAATTTAGAAATTTAAAGTTTTTAGGGTCAAAAATGAGAAAAACCCATTTTTACCCCATAAAACCCCCCATAAACACCTGATCCCATGGTCCGATTATGCTGGTTCGCGAACTCGATCGAATAAATGTAGGTTTACACGTTTGTACCAAATTTCATCAAAATCGGATCAATTTTGCTCGAGTTATCGCGCTAACGGACACATATATAAATATATACCTATATATATAAATATATATATATATATATATATATGAATTTGAACGGATGGTGTTTTTGGCCTCTGGGGACCTCAAAACGAAAAGTAAATCGGTCCCGGGTCTAGGTCTTACCATGAGACCTACGGTAATAGCTTATTCCCTATATGGGAAATTCGCTAAAAAAGAACTAATGAAATAACTATACTGTCAATATATTGTATATTGTCAATAGATTACTGAGAATAGGATTATTTTTGTAACATCTTTTGAATTGTTACAACAACCTAATCTAGAGATTTTATTTTAACTGGCTGAAGTTAGTGGCTCAGTCGGCAGCGCGTCACGGACTTCAAGCCCAAGGCAGTGATGTCATGAGCTCAGATCCTGGAAATGTCACAACTTTTTATCAGCACAGTTCTTGTACTGTAGGCCTACCGGCTCACCCCTTGCTTTGCTGGATACGTTCCACACACAGGCCTCTACGGCCTTAATATTTACCGTACAGCATTTGGGGTTGCACCATTTTGTGAAAAGGGCACAGCATACTAAATTTTAATCAAAATCGTTTAAATCGCTTTTGTAAATTTATGGGTTTTATGGGAAAATCGTCATCATAATAAAAATTTCTATAAAATAAAATCATGGCCTAGAAATACCATGGATTAGTACCCACGTACCGAATTTCATCAAAATCAGACCAAAACGTAGTCTGTAGCTCTCTGTACACATCCACACACACATTAAAACAATACACAAATACATCACTTCGAAAACCACTTTTTCCTACAGTTACCTAATAATGTACATGTTCTCACACTGATTTGAGAAAGCAAAGTGGCCAATTTGCTCAATGACAACAATGTTAACAATGACAATGCTCAATGACAATGTTAACATTGTCTCACTCTAATTACTTTGTCTCACTCCAGATTTGCAACGTGAAGGCACAAAATAGTGAGCGCGTAACATGCAGACAAGGTAGTATGCGCGCGAAATACGTTGGCAGCACTGGCTGTAAATCAGCTGGTCAGCTGTTGTACTGTTGTTTTGTCACTTGACATTAAATATCATATTAAAAGATCACTTCTGTGTAAAAATATGTTACATTTCTTTACCAATTTATTTGTTTTATGGTAACTGTAGGAAAAATATAATGTGCAGCTCGAGTGCAAAGTGCAATTGCCTCACTCGAGAAACCATTCCTAAGTAAGTATTTCTCTCGAGTGAGTCAATTGCTCCCTTTGCTCACTAGTTGCACAAATAACTATTTTGATTTAGGGGGACACAAATTTCAAACATGTAAAATATTTTGAAAAAAATTTTTTTTGCTCAGAAATTAAACAAATATTCCTATCCTTATCAGAGTAATAATACAAGATCGTATCAAAGCAGGTTACATTATAGTATTTAGCACACCAACCCTGGAAATTAAAAGCAGAACCAATAACTTTGTCAAGGATTTTACGCATTGTAAGTATCGAATTTACAGCTGACAATTGTAGACACCGTGGGCTACGGAGATCAGATCAACAAGCAGGACAGCTTCAAGGCCGTGGTGGACTACATCGACACTCAGTTCGAGGCTTATCTGCAAGAGGAGCTGAAGATTAAGAGGTCACTGAGCACATATCATGACAGTAGGATCCACGTCTGTCTGTACTTCATCTGTCCCACTGGCCACGGGTGAGCAAATTAAAAAATATCCAGAAACATTTATAAATGATTTAAAATTTGTCTAAAGTACCTTGCATAATAATATGTCTATTAACACTTAAAATATTTACTTTTGTTTTATCCTGTTGACTCATAAGATGATGCTTATAAAATACGGTAAGTGGTAATCAATTTTGATTGGACTCGAATCCACTCTTCCTCGCTTATTGGGTTTGATGGTGATTATAGTGTCTAATTGAATTTATTCCTTCGATTAAACCTAATAATTTATACCTTTTTTTTCTTTATACCTTTGAATTTATTATGGTGTCCTCTTAACATAATTTATTTGTATTTACCTTGTTGTGAGTCACAGTCAACAGTTTAAGTGTGAATATATGTTTTAAGTGTTATGAGACATAGGGCCGGTTCTAGGAATTTTTCAGAGTTAAGCGAACACCCGAATCAGCGCCACTTAGAATCCCCCCCCCCCAAACCCATGAACATAACTTAACCGTATTTGTGAATTTTTTCCCAATAATTTTGGGAAGAATTTTTTTTATAAGTTTAGGTAGGAGAATACTAACTTTCAATAAAAGGCTGTTTATTATTCGCAGAAATGTAACATTTATACACTTTTACTTATCATATAAACTATAGCAAAACCAAGGACACACTAAAAAATCAGGCCGTAATGTAATGCTCGTCAAGCATGACGTCACGATAGAAGACGGCAATGACGTAATGTTTGCCGTTTGTGATCAGCTGCTTGTTTTAATCTTTCCTTGGAAAATAAATAAATAAATACCTACGTCATTGCCGTCTTCTATCGTGACTTCTTTGGGCTGACTGGACTCGCCACCAGATGATTTCTACTAAAGTCTACTCATTGATTTGGCTTTTTTTCTCTTCCAAATTCGCCTTACGCTTTCTATAATAAGTGCCAGACGGTTATTTTTTTCTGCCATTGTTATCATAGTTTCTGCTCGCAATATGTTTTACTCATTCATTCAGTTTATACTTTCTTTTTATTTAATGCGCTAATTATAAATTAAACTTAAAACACTCGTAATAATTCGCTTATCATCAATCATGAATCATCAAAACAATGCCAATACGATACCGATACGGTATAGGCCTACGCACGATTACTAGAAAAATACCGGGACGGATCATAAACATAAACAAATGACGTTTTTGGCCCGAAAATAGACATTATTTAACGTTGCTTAAATGGAACTGCCAAAACATATGTTCAATGCTATTAGTATAGGATTCGGGCCAACAACGTCATTTGTTTATGTTTATGATCCATACCGGTATTTTTCTAGTAATCGTGGGCCTATGTATACAACTAAAAGAGTGCAATACAACGTAGTGCTCTGCTCTAGGATCAGAGGCAGGCAGAAAGGAGTGAAAGAAAGGGGAAGTTTCTTGTTGTAACAAGTGGCGCTGCGCGCTTGCTTATCTCGAGCATGAGTGATTCGTGAAATGAAACCCATAAGTGCCGCGCTGGCGCTGACGCTGCCGACTGCCGAGCGTCAGCTCAGTTCAAATCGAAACTGCAAATGGCATTGAGTCCTTGAGTTGTAGTGTTGTACAAATATACAACATTTTCAAGTGCTGTTGGTACAAACAGAATAAATGCCTTTATTGTGGTGCTTTGAATACTTGAACTCTGAGTAAAAATAAACAAAATGACGTTGTTCACGTAAAAAAAATGTTCCGTTGGCGCCACTTTTTCGTGGCGCCATATGCGGCCGCGTAGTTCGCGTATGGGTTAAACGGGCCCTGATGAGACATACTTTTTATGTACTTTTGGTAAATTTAACAACACGTACAATTCTGTTCAAGAAATTATTTATTTTTATTTGTCTTTTCTAGATGTGATTAGTATTTTTACGTTTTATGGAAGGGAGTGGTCCAAACGGTTAATTTTTAACCTCTAGGCCTACCTATTGTTTGGTAGCATTATCAATCAATAGCATAGTAACAATAAGAGATTCAATCGGATGAATTTGAGAATCGAATCTCATTTAGTTAGTTAAACCCAACAATGATTGTATGCATTTATTCATGGCCTAATTAATAAAACCAAGGGTTTTCTATTCCCAAATGATTAACAAAAAGTGGTTTACAAATTAATTTAGTTTATGGAATTATGCAATCATATCACAATTACAAAAAGTTGTCACAATGTTGCCGTGATCACAGGAGTTGACAATGATGCACAATTATTGTAATTAAATAAATTAACATTTTAACAAATTGTTTGATTGAAAATAAAGATATTGCTGTGATTTATGTCATGCCCATTGATTTTGAATAAAGTAAATGATAGACAACTTTCTCCGTGGACTTTGTGTGGTATCTGGTAATAATAAATGTCCTTTTTTGTATTTGATACCTTACATTCAGATTTATTATATTTCAATACAATACTTAAATCGTTTACTGCAATTGGAGTTATGACTAGGCCCAATGATTGCAGGGTGTCCACATTCTGGAAAGTCAGGGATAGTCATGGAAAAAAATGCTGGTCATTGAAAGTCATGGAAATAGGTAAAAAGTCATGGAAAGTCATGGAAATCCCCAATGATGGATGGATTCCAGGGTACCTTTCAATGCTCTAGTCGGTCGTAACCCCAACTATCGTAGCATTTTCCAAATTTTTCACAAATGTACGACAATTTCAATTTATGGGTTTTGAGTTTGTATTAGTTCATTGTTGTACCTATTGTCATAGACTAACCAACACAAGTAGACTCCTCATCCCATTGTAAATTTTGAAGCACGTTTTTCGTGTCTAGTTCATGTACGTGACACATGGGTGCTAGTTGTATCCCATAAATACAATACAAGGTGGAAAAATCTTACTGTAAAAAGTCATCATCGGCTGAAACTTTCAAAAATGAAGCCTTCGTATATTGGCAATTTATTCATAAGAAGTTTGCCTGCCTTACTAAAAAAAGATCAAAACAAACCCAATTTTTTAAAGAAATTAAAATCATTCTTAATTAATCTGGCTCCTTATAGTATAGACAAGTTTCTAAATCAAAAATTAATTAGCTATACATTCTAAAATAATTGTCAAATTGTATGGTTAAGTCTTTTAGATTAAGTTGCATAACCAATTTTGTATGCGTTGACACTATTCATGTATGTAAATGTATAAAGTGAATAAAGATAATTTGATTTGATTTGATTTAGTGTCGACGAAACTTTGTTTCTATTATTTTAGGGTTAATTTCTTGATTTGTGCTTTACTGTTTGGTTATATAACTAGGGGACAAGTTATTGTTTATGATTAGATCGTATTATTTGGTTAAACGAGGTTTTAAATGGCTGTACCTCTACACACGACCTCTACATAAACCGTACAGAACTAACAATAAAATTGTCTTCAGCTGTTCCATAAGGATGAGAAATCTACTAAGGGAGTATGTTTTATCTATGCTATTGTACTCCATTGTTATCTGTTATTACATATTTCAATATTTTCTGTGAAATAACTTGTCTAGGCAGTATTATTCGTGTGTATACGGTATATTATAATTTGTGAGTTATGTTCGTGAGTCATGGAAATCAATGGTTAATGGTCATGGATAGTCATGGATAGTCATGGAAAGTCAGGGAAATTAATGACAAAATTTCTGTGGACACCCTGGATTGCATGAGTCATTCTAGTGATTCATAACTGTTGGTCTATTTACTCTTATCTAAAATTACTCTTAATCTGAACCATTTTGGACAATAGTTTAACCTTAAACCTTAGTTTAATGCTTAGCCTCTTCCAATGTCATACTGAAGAATCGTGTGATTTGAACAAATATTTCATGATGTAGAATAAAATCACATTTTACTTATTTTTCAAAATATTTCATTTTTATTTTTATTTTACTACTAAGTGATGATGTCAATCAAATTTGTACAATGTTTTGATTGAAAAGGGTGCATTTTCTGAGAACTAAGGAGACAAAGGGCAGGATGAGCAGGCTTAGCTTATAAATTGTAGGCATCCCACTTGACTAAAGTAACACAAATTGAAACTCTAAATATATCGAGGCCAATGGCCCCTTTCTCAACATTGAGTCACTAGATTCTGTGCATAGATTCTAAATTATAGTGACACTTCATGTTGAGAAAGGGGCCATTGGCCTCGAAATATTTAGTGTTTTCATTTGTGTTACTTTAGAGAAGTGGGATGCTACAATTATAAGGTAAGCCTGCTTATCCTGTTAATTTGTATTTAGGTTTTCTATAATAGTCTTGTTTTGTAGTGTAAGGAATAGTTACTTATTCTGATCTTACTGTAAATTTTGTCTTTAAATCGCTAAATAATCCTTCAGACTTTACAGCTATTACAATACTATAGAAAAATTTAATTTACAACTAAAAAACTAAAATAGACAATACAAAATGAAATTCTAATTCATCTCTTTCAAGCAAATAATAGCGTGAATCACAGTCAAAACTGTTTTCATTCAGTTACTGCTAACTAAAAAAATTCTGATTAAAACGCAGTGAAAAAAAGAAATGGATTTGATGTATTAAATGGATAGTTTGAAGCTTGGGACAGAACTGATGCATTAAATTAACTAGCCAATTAGTCCCTGGCATCGTTGCATACTACGAGAAGTCGCTCTAATAATAGTTGCCGATAATTATATTGTTGCTGTGAGCGCGGCCTTTGCCTTTAAGGGTTAACAAGGTATATTAAATCTTCCTTTACCTGTAGGTTTGCCACAGCTGGGGTGTTTTTTTTAAGATTTATTTTAAAATGTTGTCCACAGATTGAAATCCATTGATCTAGTCTGTATGAAGAAACTCGATACCAAAGTTAACATCATACCAATTATTGCCAAGGCTGATACCATATCTAAAACAGAGCTCTCTAAATTCAAGGTAAGGATGATTATAGATCATTTTCTGTTTGTTTTTACTTACGATTGTTTTGGAAGAGAATTATCTCTACCATGTTTTCTCATTAAAAGCTATTTTTAGTGAATGATTCCTGACAACCAATTATGAGATTTTAACGAGCAAGACACATTCCTGTTGTTTTTCATTACAGTAAAGTTTTTATATGATAAAATCCATTTCGATTGACGAGATTACAATTATTTTTGGAAATTATGTTTAAAATGAAAGCCAAATGCCTGGTTTAAAGATTTTAAAAAGGGATTGAGTTCGGCAATTTTATCTGAGAAGAATCTACAATATTAGCCTACCTTTAGAATTTGTTTATTTTTTTATAACTATTTCCAGGAGGTATTTTGAAAAGCAGTTGTAAATTATGAATCTTGTGAGAGGCATTTTTATTTATTTATTTGTTGAAGAAAACATCCGTGTTTAGTTGCATTTTGTGTCCAAACGGGGTCTTATAAAGAAGGTTGTGCAAATCAAACTCGCTTAAACAAGTCTCAAATGCATAAACTTCTTATACATTCCCTTAAACATACCGTACATAATTTTTCATACTTTTTAAACACTAATTATTCATTAATTTCCTCAATAATCTTAAATGTTTCAGTTACGCTCCTACCTTCATAGAACTATTAATACTTCAATTAATGCATCACTTAATTTGTTACACAGTCTATTCAACTATTACTGTTAACGTAGATTAAATATCTACATGAACTGTGATAGTTGTGTTTGTTTAGAACAGACTGTGTAACGAATTCAGTGATGAAATTAAATAAAACACTTGAACAGTTTTCATAATACAGTCAAATTTATGTTTTACAAGGTTGTTTTTCACTGATGACTTTTCCTTGTAGACAAAAATTATTCAAGAGCTGACAGCCAACGGGGTAGAAATCTACCAGTTTCCTACAGACGACGAGTCCGTCTCTGAGATCAACACGTCCATGAACTCTCATGTTCCGTTTGCCGTAGTCGGCAGCACAGACTTTATCAGAGTTACCAACAAAATGATGAGGGCTCGCCAATACCCCTGGGGTACTGTTCAAGGTATGTTGGTACATCTGGAGATATTAAACATTAGATAGAGTTTAAACATTGATTTGTACGAAACAAGAATTGATTGAACCTTTTCATCTGTAATAATTTTACAGTCTTGACAAATTTATTTTGCAAATTTCTCATATTGGGGAGAGAAGCTAATAAATACCATTGGTGGCATGGTACCCAGACCTACAAAAGGGGCTGATCTACTTTTTAATTTTGATGTCCCCAGAGGTTAAAAAGCAGTTGTGATGGATTAATTTGATTAAGTCTGTAAACTATAAAGTACAAGAAAAGTAGTACCTACATATTTTTTTCCTACAGTCACCCGACAAAGTTGGCTTCCTTGTACTGTTTATAGTACAGAAAGCTGCTAATTGCTGCATATTTGTACTTTGCCGCACGGTTTATACTTTGTCGTACGGTTTATACTTTGCCGCACGGTTTATACTCTGTCGTACGGTTTATACTTTGCCGCACGGTTTATACTCTGTCGTACGGTTTATACTTTGCCGCACATCAGCATTCCAACGAAATAACACAAAAAAGCGTGGTTCTATTATGCACGTAATCCGTGTACGCTTGGAAATAGGTTGGCAACACTTAAAGATAATAATACTATGAATAATAATGATAGTGAGTGAGATTGACTATTATAACTACAATTTAACCTGTCATTTCGTGTTTATAGTTTCGGTATTTCTGAACTTTCTGGACTTTTCTTTTAAACGTTTTTAAAACATTCCTACGATCTTAATAAACAAGAAAATACCTTTAAAGCATTTTTTTAGGTGCGGAAACCATTTCAAATTACAAAAACATACGGAACTATATTCTCAAAACGCGGAGCACATTTCTTGCCGAGGAAAAATAGCTGAGTGATACGGACCGCGGGTACTACTTTCTCTAGGGCACCATTTGTGTTGCGAGCTTAACCTAAAAACGTTTTGTATAGTGTTTGAAAGACTAATTATTTATATGCTTTATAGTGACTGTAGGAAAAATATAATGTGTAACACGAGTAAAAAAGGCCTTTGATGCACTCGAGATCATTCAGCACGAGCCGCAGGCGTAAACATTGCTCTTGTGTGCAGCAAAGTGCCACTTTCACCACTAGTTACACAAATAACCATTTTAATTTAAAAAAAAAAAAACAGATAAAAAAACTCCTAAAACACAAACATGTCCAAATTTGCATTTCAGCCTTTGAACATAAAAAAGCAAATAGTTTTGTATATTGCAACATTGTTGTAGCATCAAAGGTCGCTCAGAGAACTTGCAGCTTAACAGTTAAGGAGAAAATAAAAAAAAAACTGTACATTTAAAATTCTCATGTTTTTTGTATGGAGAAAACTGTAGTTTTTGAATTGTAGAATAAGGAGGATAGCTGCTAGCTTACCATGAAAAAGTGTAGGTAGGCTATTGTAGATACATAAGAGACTGAACACACAATATTTCGTCCCCTTTGTCAAGTGTAGAGTCTGTTCTGTATGTTCTATTTAGGCCTACCAACACTTCTTCAAGGTAAGCTTGCTGCTATCCTTCTTATTATACAATTCAAAATCCTGGCCTAGAGACTTTCCTTGAACAATACTAACTTTGTAGTTTTGCTTGTTTATGGCTATATTTTGATCAAATTTATTTATTTAAACTATAATATGAACATATATTACCATAAAATACAAACAAATTGTCATCCTTCACATCACAATGAATCAACAGTTTGTTGTAGTTACAACTATCAATGAACTGGTATACATCTTTTTTCCATTGGATTTTAAAGAATTTTAAGATCTTACTTGCTAATATTTTAAATAATTTATACTTACTGCCATGGCCATTTGTACCCCAGTGCTTGGCCTCAGTGACTCATAGTCTCCATCCGTCTCTATCCTCAGCATCTTCTTCTTGAATTCCTAAGCGTCTCATATCTTACTGGACCTGATCCCTCAATCTAGTTCTTGGTCTTCTTCTGGGTCTTCTTCCTTCCACCGTAACTTTCAGGATGTTTTTTGGCTGATTTTTCTTCTCTTCTTATTATGTGTCCACTCCATCAAAGTCTCCTGCTTCTTATCCCTCCCACTAGGGGGAGTGAGCTGGTCTAGTAATTAGAGCATGGGACTCCGGTCCAAGAGGTCCTGGGTTCAAATCTCGCCAAATCACCAATGGATTTTATCCATGTGATAATGCCGCAACCCCTAGGTCTCCTGAAGTAATGTGAAAAACAATTCCGGGCTTGTGCCTAGCGTCCTAGGACAAGAAAAATCTCTCCTACTAAATAACTTATAATGTTCCATAAACATACATTTACCAAACCAGTTACCCTCTATGTTGGTTGCAGTGGAGAACGAGTCTCACTGTGATTTTGTCAAGCTACGAGAGATGCTCATCCGAACCAACATGGAGGACATGAGGGAGAAGACGCACATCAAACACTACGAGCTCTACCGGAAGAAGCGGCTTGAGCAGGTATGTCAGCAACTTACATACTATAGGTCAGATTCAAACTCTTAATCGCTTCATTACTTGATTGAGACAGCAACATACGGCATTTAAGCTGAATTTAATTAAATGCAGTGTGATAGATCAACCATGCATTGATGAATGGATGCATTGACAAATGACATGCATTGAATTTTTTTTCATTGAATCAAATTCAAATTTCAAATCATTTCAAACTAGTGGAACCCCGTCGAAATCGACGGTTAATCTTGAGGTTTTATGTAAATTCAGCTAACTGCGTTGGATAGAGTGAAGTCATTAAAATCTTAGTTATATGAAGGGAGGATAAGCAATAATAAGTATGACGATTGTGTTCCCTAAAAAACGTGATTGATGAATTCGTTTAACACAATATTTCCTACCTTTCTTTTTATCGGCTTTAGGTTTCCCAAAAGGTTTTTTAGGAGTCTTATAATTATTTGTTCATGAGTTTGTTTCATACCAAAGCCACTTTCACTATATGGGAGAATGAGTTCATATAATTAGTCTATCATGTTACGGAAAAAGTCAAAATTTATTACTAACCACTAATTCCATCTGCTTTAGGAAAATCATTCAGATTGTATCCGGATTTATAAGTAAATCTTCATCTTTATTTTTGATAAAAATATCTGATTCTCCAGAAAGCAGTAACATTCTTACTTCGATCTCAGCAATTTTAAATCCTGCTCTTGCCACATCGACCCATGTATTTAATCATCCTGTTCTTACTTGATAATTTATTAACTTATGGGGTAGTTTTGCCTTGGCCATATAGATCACGTAAAGCTGTGCATGTATTTCGTGGATTGGAATGAACCATAATTGTAGGAAATTTTATCACAAATCTTGAACATTTGCGGAACCAAATCCATAACCTAGTCCAGCATTGGTAACAAATTATGCAAATGCGATGAGATGTGATGACACTGTTATGTTTCCGAATGCTTTGTATGTAGTGAGGTTTAGATGCGTTGTTCAACCTAGCAACATGTGTACATCAAAGTAAAAACTGTGTACACATTTTTTTTAAATACCTGAATTGACATTAGTTCACCTACTTTACCAAAACCATAGACTCCGTAGTTAGTCTATTCCAAAACTTGAACACAGCTCTCATCCTCAACGTACTCATCTATGACACAATTTTCAACCCGATTATCAAAAACTGTTATACCAATAAATGAATCTCAGGTGTTCTTTCTTGAATTTAAAAATAAATGGTGATTGAAAATAGGAAAAAAAGGCAAGTGCCAACCTTACAATATGTATAAGCTAACCCGATAAGGAATAATTATATGTTCCTTTGAAATTGATAAGTCACACTTATTTCATAATTTAAAATTTTCTAAGAGCAATAAATCATCTTTGAGACGATTTATAATAGTAAATCTAATTATAATTATATTGATTTTTTTCTTTAAGAATGAACCTTTTAAGAAACAATTAGCAACCTCTGGCTGCTTCAGTTTCACACTCCATCGCTCAAGTGACTCACCAATTCGCTGATGATCTTTGTTCAGATGTATGTATTGTTCAAAATATCTTCTCACCTGCTGTTGCAGATGGGGTTCACAGATGTGGATGCAGAGAACAAGCCCATCAGTTTCCAGCAGACATTTGAAGCCAAGCGGAACAACCATAAGCAGGAGTTGCAGCAAAAAGAGGATGAAATGAGACAAATGTTTGTTATCAGGGTGAAGGAGAAAGAAGCTGAACTCAAGGAGGCAGAGAAAGAAGTAAGCCGACTTCAGTAGTATTGTTAAACTTGCATCACGTTTTTTTTATAATTCTTAACCTGGAAAAAAATTTTAAAGGATGTAACATATAGCACACAAGCCAAAATGTTTTTGAGTTTATAGCAGGCTTATCTGAAGGAAAGATTAGTTTTGTTTAAGGAAAGGCTCTAGGCCAGGATTTTAAATTGTAGAAAAAGGAGGATAGCAGCTAGCTTACCTTGAAAGTGTGGGTAGGCCATAGAACAAGTAGAAAAACATTTTGCACACAATATTTTGTCCCCTAAGGGACTTTGTCAAGTGTAGAGAGAGTTTATAAATTACAAGATGGCTGCTGTCATGGCTGATAGCTGTTGTCAACTATGCAGGGTTGCCACATCTCGTTAGTCTATTTACTAGTAACTTTGTACACAACTTTATATATACACACATATAATATTTTATATACAAACTAGGCCTATTATGTATTTAGCTAGCTGCTGGGACAGGTTTATCTTAGGTTAAGGTTGGGGGGAGTTCTGGAGTTGGTTATATACTGGAATGCCAGTTCCCACCTTCTTAACATGGAAGGGTTGCATTCATCCTTTGGAAGTGATTTTATTACTTAAGTTGTGAAGCAACTATCAAAGTCCATGTTGTGATTGTTGGCATGGATGGCCACAGGTTTTTCTTTACCCGTTTTGACATCTTGGCGGTGGCCATTCATTCTTTCTCTTAGGGTGTTTTTTGTCATGCCCATATATTGGGCCTGGCTATATAATGAAGGGAAGATTAGTTAGAATGAAAGGCTTTTGAATTGTAGGATGAAGAGAATAGCAGCTAACTTACTTTTAAGAAGTACAGGTCATCGGACACACAGAAGAAACACAAAAGACCCAATATTTTTTCACATTGTTCTCTTTCTCCTCACTTGGTAGTCCCCCAGTGGACGAAATATTGCATGTTTTGTGTCTCTTCTGTGTTTTTTATGACTTGAACTTCTTCAAGGAAAGCTAGCTGCTATTATCTTTATTCTACAAATCAAAATTCTGAAGGGGAAAGACCAATCTGGCACAAAAAGCACATAACTTTATACATGACATTAGAATAATTCACTGTTACTGACGACATCTTCAATAAAGGAAAGTAGGAGGTGATGAGAAAGTTGACTTAAAGCGTAATGGTAGCCAGGAAGTTGTAAAAGTAAAGTTTTAAGAATTTATTGTTGAATTTTTTATCCGGATTTCTTACTAATGACAAATCTGTAGATAAATTTACTCTCGTAAACCTCAACAAATAACAATATTTCTAATATTTCCAGCTTCACGCCAAGTTTGACAAACTAAAGAAGGAGCACACAGAGGACAAGAAGAAGTACGACGATGCTCGGTCCAAGTTGGAGGACACGATTGTGGAGTTCAACCGTCGTAAGTCTCAGTTGGCTCAGCTCGGCAGCAGTCACCACACACTGACGCTGGGGAAGAGTAAGAAGAAATGAGATTCCTCAAGCCACCGCTAAAGTGTGTGGCCTACGGTGAACAAGCGAGTTCAGTGTTGAAGTGAAGGCAGACAATAGGTCAAGGCTCAATTGAATGTCTTTTACTCTGCAAAACATCCAGGAGAATATTTGGTTCTAACTGCTGTTATGTTGGAAGCTGAGTTGGGATCCTTGAAGTTAAATGCTTTTATAAGTGTATAATGCAGGATGCCTGTTTAGTGGATGCATATTCTCACACATAAGTACAGGGTGTTTCAAAATGAAATAGCAGATTATGATTAATATACATGTCAAATCTGCTCTTTCATTTTGAAACATCCTGTATACACAAAGTTGATCTTTTTTGTTGTGCATTGATGCTTAGGAGGCTTCATGATCTTTAAAAGTCTTGTACAAAATCTTGTTTTATCTTTGCTCCATTGCTTTCTTCTTGTTTCCTTTGTTTCTTTGCTATGCTTTTCCTTTTAGCGAATTTCCCATTTATATAGGGAATAAATCTTATCATTAGGGAATAATTGAATGGAAACCTGATCAGGCAAATAGTAATTTGCTTAGCCTGCAGGTTTGCTACGGCAGGGGTATTCTGATTGTGCATAAGCGCTTAGGAGGCCTCCTGATCTAGAAAGGGGTTGCTAGAAAGGTTGCTTGCCCAAAACCTCTAAACCGGATTCGTTTATAAGGTGTACAGACGCCTCAGCTTTAGCAGTTAAATCAAGCAACCTGTAAAGATAACCATATAAAAAAGAAAAGAAACACAAAGAAACGAGAGGACAATAGAAAAGCGTGAGGTGAAAGCGATGGAGCAGGAAGGAAAAGAGTCCGGAGGCTTTAGAAAGATCATTAAGTCTCCTAAGTACACCAATGCAGGATAAAAAAGATCAATTTTGTAAGTGTATACATTTATGTGTTGCATATTGAAAAGATTCACCCACTGTACAGGTTAGCCTGTTCAAAACAAAAACTGATTTTGGCTTAGAGCCCTTCACGAACAATTTGCACAAGCATTAAGTAGATTCAGATGTTGACCTTGATCTATTTACTGGTTTTACTTCTAACAAAAATTTCGTCATTGTCACTTCCTGAAATATATGCTTTTGAAGTTCCCAATCAACATTTCTGTCCAAGCCTTTTAGAGAAATCTTTTACATATTTTATAAACATCTTCAAATCAAGTTAACTTCTACGATGGCCATAGATCAAACTCAAAATCTTTATTTGTCTGTGTGACAATAGCTCACGCAGAACGAAATCAGCTAAAAATGTAAATTATGTTAACTGAAGTTAAACGTAAGAATAAAAGTAAAAGTGTTAAGAAACTGGTAATTTCTTTGTTGATTTTTCAACCTCAGCGGTGTCTAGTTTCGTATTATACTAAGGAGTCAATTTTGAAGAAGACTAAAAGGTTTTCCATATTTTATAAGACCAGGAGGGTTTCGGTAAGAGGTCTCTTTGACACCAACAAGAACAAAACACATGCATTTATAACGACATTGTGCTATTTGTTCCTTACACAATTATTTAGGAAAATTATTATTTCCAAAGTTATATTTGATCACTAATAGTCATTCAATACAATTTTCAATTAACAAAAATAATTATTTAAACTGTTAAGACTGCTACTTTACAAGTACAACTAATCTTTGACATTTTGGTGATTTGTAGTAAATTTTAAACACTAGTGTTTTATGATTCAAATTAATAGCTTAGATCGTATAGCTACTACTACAGTCAGATACTTAAGCTGGTGATATTCTAGATCTTTGCATTTAATTGTTTTTTGGCTTCGCGATGCTATTTAAAGCCTGTTCACCGTAGTATGAGTCATTCCAGTCTGGTCTGCTATGATAGTTTCTTATGTTTTGAATGGTTTAGCAAGATGGGAGGGTAAAAAAGTCTTACAATTTGGGGAAAATTACTTCTAAGTTTTTTCCTGAAGTAATCTTAACAACCCTGAACGGTTTTTACAATCCTAAAACTTTGATTATGTAAAGATTTATTTGATTTAAGAACATTATACACAAAATAATCCCCAGGAGTTTATTCCCAAAAACTCTAATTGTCTTCCATAATCCCCTTAATTTCCGCACAAAAACCTCCCATCCAGCGTGTGCTATATTGAGTTAGTATTATGTATTCCAGTATATAATTTATATATTTATAAGAGTATTTATTTGGTTTGTCGTAATACAATTTGTAATAAAGTAATTTATCTCTGGATCGTTTTGATAATTTTGCTCTCCCAGTTTCCATTGATTGTTGGTTTTGAAAATCTTATATTTTTGTCTTGACAATAAAATTGAAGATTTATAGGGATGTTGTATGTTGTCTACCTATTTGGACACGATGTAGTACATTATTACTACATTATTGTGTACATTATTATTATCAATTGCCTTGTACTAAAATTTAGTACATTTAATGTAGTCTTCAAAAAAAGGAAAAATATTAAATTACATTTTATAACACCAAAGCAGGAAATTGAATTTTAATATAGGAATTTTTAAGGTAGTTTGGAATTTTCAATGTACAATTTTTTGGAATATTCACTGTAACATTTCATTGGTCAACAATGCTCTAATGTACAGGGTGGCCCAAAAGAAAAGATGCTCATTTAAATTGCTGCTTTAACTTAAAAACTTCTGTTTCAATGTGTATCACTCCACAACAATGTACAGGAATGGTTGAAAGCATGCAAAGACGAATAGAATGTGTAATAAACAATGGTGGAAAACATGTAGAGCACTTTTAAGATAGAGTAAGTGTGTACAGCTAATAAATAATTATTAATTGCAATGAAATGATGAGTACCTTTTTTTGGACCACTCTGTACAATTATTCATTTTTTAAGCTCTACTGTATAGTTTTTATAGAAATTGGGCATTTTGTTTTCTTTTGAGGGTAACAGTTTGAAAAAAATAATTTTTTTGGAAAAGCTAAAATTCTTCAGGACTAGATCTTGCAGTTTCACAAACTAATTTTCAACTGTATCCAGTTCTACATGTTCATGCCAAATTTCATCAAAATCAGACCAAAATTACCTAAATTATTAATGGGCACATATTAAAAAAAATAACAAAAAGTATCTATGGCCTCTAGGGTCATCAAAATCAAAAAGTAAGTATATCTTGAGTCCTGGTCTTACTGTGCCACCTACGGTAATAGCTTGTTCCCTATAGGGAAATTCACTAAAATAAGTACTTTAGCCCCACAAGGAATTTTGTAAACAGCCGATTTCTAACATTTTAAACCAGCTATACTGTTCCTATGTCTTCTAGAAGATTTTATCTCCAAAACAATTGCATTTGGCCTCACAAATAATTTGCAAACTTATTTTAAGGATTTTATGCTCGTGTTGCAGTTTCATCAACATAACTTATATGCTTATCTAAATTAGTGGCCGGTTGTAATTTTTCCTACCAAAGAACTGTTTATGTGTTGATTCTTCTTATTGTCAACCAGTTCAATGATAACCTTTCTAGAAATATTTCTTCGTTATCTTTTATCGTTATTTTTAGTTTTCTTTCTGGACTGGTTGTTTCACACTAGTAAACAAAAGATAAAAACACTTTGTTTGAAAACGTTTAATGTGAAAGTTGTCCTAGTTTTCTTCCGTAGAAAGTTTTATAATGTACTTTGAATTAAAATGACTGATTCTGTTGTATATGCCAACAGACTCCAGCCCAAAATTAGTTTAGAAATAAACTAGAGCTCGCCCCATGGTCGAAAAACTCGACCAAAATTATGTATTTTGCAAACTTCTCAATTTACAATCCACACTGTAAATAAAACATGTGATTGGAATTTCTTTAATTTGTTTTGATTTTCTGTTTATATTTTGTTGTTATTTTGTCACCAACATTGCAACCCATAAGGCCCATACAGTATTATTTTTTTTAATTCATTTTTTGTGCTTATTTTAATTTATAAAGGGATTTTGCACATCTACAGGAAAATGTCTTTCATTTGGTACCAACCGTGTTTAATTCGGTCCAGTAGTTCAGGCTAGCTGTCGTAAGTTTTGCAAAAGTTTTTTAGTATAAGATAGTTCATAATCTTACTAATATTATAAATGTGAAAGTTTGTGTGTTTGTTTGTTTGTTTGAAGTTCAATCACGCATAAACCACTGGACGGATTGGGCTGAAATTTGGCATGATGATAGCTTACATTCCCGATTAACATATAGGCATATTCTTATCTCAAAAATCCTTTCGGGCTCCGCCCCAGTGGCTCTGTAATTCCCCATGTTAACCTTATGAGTATTCACATTTAAAAGGAATTAAAGAATTTAGTCAGCTGTTTCAACTGAAAAAGTTGGTTCTATGATATGGAAAAGCATTAAAAAGTTATAAGATTTACCAACAGGGTACAGCACTATATTTTTTTTGTATTTATGAAAACAGCTAATTTGAACTAAGCAGCAACAAAAAACTGTGATTCCCAATGAGAACTGTCAAAGTAGGATTGTTTACTGTTATGTTTATGTTTTTCATTTCATGAATAATTTGTGATATTTTGCGAATTGTTGATAATTTATTTTTCTCTATTGTTTAGGTGAAGTGGTAGAACATTATGGCTATGGTAGGATGTGTAATACTATAGAATACTGTAAATTTAAAAAAGCAAATTTTATCAAACTGTGTCCTCCCTTATTGCAAACGCAAAGCTTGAGTATAACTGCAATAATCATTTTATACTTATATTCCAACCCCGTACGAAGGACGGGTACTCTGCTAGTCAAAGTATAAAGGAAATGCATTTGTTGCAAACTTGTACCTTTCCTATTTACTAATTTCATACCGTGTGTATGTATGTGTTATCTAAAATCTTCTGTGTAATCATTTAGAATCTGTAAGGTAAAAAAACAAATTTGATAAACACAGAAGTAATTGAATTCCTAAACAATCCAATAAGTTGAAAAACATTTCTTTTTAATTTTAACTCTCTCCATACACATATTATCTGAAAAAATGTTTGTTTTCATCAAAATTCTCTCTAATGCACGTTTTTAAATGAACATATCCTATGCCTATTACATTTAGTTATTTAGTTTTGTAAGATCTAGACGTTGACATTTCAACATCTATAGGAGTCAGTTCGAGGGTATTTTCCGATGACATGGACTCGACACGACTATATTTTGATCAAGTTCACAAATCTACCTTTGAATAAAATTCCAGTTTGGTCAGTTCAGCAATTGCATCGACCTGGAGGATATAATAGAAAGTACCATTAATTCATCAATTGCGGGGTTGCTGTCAATGGAAGCCGTGTGCAGGGTGCAGACTTGTAGCCTCATCCACAGAGTCTTGGTTCAGCAAGAGCCTAAGTACTTGGTGGAAAGGCTTGTGGCTCGTGGGGAGATGACCCAACGCGAGACCCGGCGCAACGCCTTGCTCCACTTTCAAAAAGTGGGTAGGAAAGGGTTTTCATACTTTAGCCCGAAGATTTACAATGATCTCCCCTTGGACCTAAAACAGCTGGGGATCCTGGCTTTTAAAAGAAACTTAAAAAACATATTAATATTGTAAAATAGTTGTATATATATTTAATATTTTTATTCTATCACACGATGTCTTGTATTATAATAGTATTGTATTTTTAGTTAGTTTTGACCTGAGTTACTCTGTAAAACAGTTATATTTGTACTGAGAGACGCTCGGAAATAAAGGCATTTTTATTTATTTATTTAATTAAAAGATGGATTAATGATCGACAACAATAAATACATTTCCAGCTTAAAAGAAGTAATAGGGGTTAAAGAGGATGTTGGAATAATCCTGCGCAATACAGGAAGAGATATTAACACACGTGATTACACAGAGAAAACTATAACACACACACCATTGAGAAACTCACACACACTCATACCAACACATAGGGGCAGATAAGAGAAATTGAGTTAGTTACTCTTGCAGTGTGTGTTAGTGCAGTGTGGTGTCTTCTTGGTTTGGACAAATAAAAAACTATTTTGTGTGGAAATCAAAATATTTTAGAAAAAATTTAATTAATAAATTATGTGATTTTCAAGTGTTGAGTTTTGGTCAAATACTTCAGAACTATAAACTTTTGGAAACTTATTATAACTTATTATAAACTTATAACAAGAGTCCAGAAGGGATTATAGACTCTCAACTCGTTAAGGATACTTCTTACCAAGGTTTGTACAATTAATAATATTAGACATTAATTACTAACTGGTCCTTAGAAAATAATTCAATGTGTTTTATTAAAATAGAATTGATTGAGTTTCAATTGTCAAATTTATATTTTTTCTTAGCTTTTCTTTTGATAGTTAGTAGCTTAGAATATAAGTTCCTTAGATTTGACATGATTTAAAAATCTAGCGCACTTGGTAGCAATTAATAAGTAAATTTTATTATTAGTCAAAGCAAAAACATATACAATATTACTTTCCACACTCTTTACTGCGAGGCAAAAAGCTTGGAATAGATTTTGTTGAGGTTTAAAATCATTACTAGTAGCCTAAGATTACTAAAATCAATTAAGACAAATGGAAATTCGCTTATTCGGCAGGTTTGCTGCGGCGGGGGTATTTTTTCTTAGTTTTTCTTTTGATAGTTAACACACAGATACGCTATTGCTTTCAATACGTTCCTTAAGAAAAATTTCAACCTTTTTCAAAATCAGTCTCGCCCTATCTCCTATGGTTTGAGAAGCCGGTCCGATTTGGATATTCCAAAGCACAAAACTGCGTTTTTTGAAAATCATTTATTTTACAATGGCATTCAACTGTTCAATGTACTGCCCGCTCCCCTGAAGATGGAAAATAGTGTGGACAAATTTGGCAAAGGGGTTAAGAGTCTTCTTTTGTCACGCTGTTGTTACAGTGTAGAGGACTTCTTAAGAAATCAATGATTTTTAGTTTTTAGATTTTATTTACAAGAAATATTGTTTTTATTTGTAAGTGCAATTTTGTTGACACTATTATGCAGTTATAACGACTGTCAAATAAATAAAGATGTTTGAGTTTGAGCTTAGATTTGACATGATTTAAAATCTAGCGCATTTGGTTGCAATAAGTAATTTACATCAACGCAATCTGTTGTTGGATCAATTAAACTAAAGTTTACTTTTATATTAAAACTGGTTACTTTTTAAAATTGGGACGGAATGTCTCATGTCTAATTTTATTATTAGTCACAACAAAAACATATAAAATATTAATTTCCACACTCTTTACTACGAGGCAAAAAGTTTAGAATAGATTTTGTTGAGGTTTAAAATCATTACTAGTAGCCCACTTTAGATAACTACGTATTGCCTATAAAAAGTTAATTTGTTATATTTTGTATTATTAAAAACTTTCTTTCGTTTCTCTAAACTTAGATGTCAAGAGATAATAAAATTTACTAATTGTAACCTCAATTAGAGTAGATTAACTTTTACATAGGATTTGTCGATTTGTATGTTAACGCAAATGAAATGATGTGTTTACACGTTTGTAAGTTTGACTCCATTTTATGGTCTAGGAATTATGTTCTCCATGCTTGGTGGCCAACAATTAGTGCAGTGAAGTAGATAATTAAGTGCTTTCGAAATGATTTCACTGTGACCGTTGAATAAAAACAACCTACAATCATGTGTTACAAAATAGGTTATGAAAACACCAGGTAAAATTTGCAGCTTTTATGCAGGGTAAGCAACTAGTTGTCTTTTCTCTCATGTAGTTTTGAATGCGCAAATCAAACTCGTTTTCAAAGTTTGTGCTCTAAAAGCAAATGCTACAATGGACATAGATGAATCATTTCTTGAAGAGACATTTTTGACCAAATACAGGGGTTTTCAAGTAAATTGCTCGGTTGCCGAGTGGTTATAGCCTAACAAATCAAAAGGTCACCGTTTGATCCTCAAAAAGTCAGTAGCTTTTTTGATGGTATGAAACTGGACCCAGCTGTTCTTGATCATTGGGCTTTAAATGAACGATCCTGACTGATGAAACAGCTGATCTTCTTAGTTAGTAACAAAGTTACAGGTCATCTCACACCCTTCTACACTCATCCTTCTATATACATACACACCTAGGTGACGGCTCCATCTCAATAATTTATGCTTGATAATAATTTGGTGCAAATCTAAATGGATGTAATTTCTGTATGCCTTGATTAAAGCAACTGTCGGTTAAAACCATGAAAATATCATTTTCATAAGATTGTTTAGATTTGGTTGACTACTGTGTATTTCATATGTCTGTCACAGTTAATCAAGTAACCAAGACAAAGCATAATCGAAACAAATTTATAAACATGCTCTTACCGTTGACATCAACAGCTGTGTTAATAAAGGTATTCAGAAAAATTACAGCTGTTTAGAGTTTGATCCATTACTTTTCAAACACCCTGAATATTTTAATTAGCTTCCATAAAAGTTTATCATATACTGTTTGTTTGGAAGTAAAAATATAGCTTTACTGTACCTTGATTATACTCCGTTCACAAAATTTAGGCTGTTTTAGGGGAAGAAATCTATTTCCTCCATTTGAAAACCTACTTTTTAAAATAATAGCTCAACAGCTGGGGTTTGCAAAATATAAATCAGCTCCAACATATATATTGAGCAAAAAAAGTAGTGGGGGAACTTCCCCTCAAACTGCCTAAATTTTGTGAACAGAGTATAATTTAGTATTTTTAGGAATGATCAGTCTTCTTATCAGTACAAACATCTTATCTTGATGTAATCATATAGATTGTGTGTTAACATTTCTGCCTGGCCAATGTTTTAGAGTATTTCAATTCGACATTTTTGTTTCGTTTTGTGATTTTACCTAGAAAGAGTCTATTTTGAGTTACCAGAATTCATTATCTGAAACTAAACAATCTCTTATGTTCATTGTGGAGTATAAAAACAACTGATCTTTGGTCTATTTTCTGACCAGTGTTGTTTATTTATGGATCGTTTATCAGTGTTGTTAAGAATATTCTTTTTTATAAACAAATGAAGAATAAAATTTTCCTTTTTCCATATTGTTTATACTAATAATGTGGCTGTTTAATGCTGGTGCTTATAACTTTTCCATCCCTACATGTTTTATTTCAAAGTTTTTTTAGGATAACACACAATGTTAAAAAATAAATGAATAAAGGGACATTGCTAAATTGTATTGCTAAATTGCTGAATTAAAAATGTTTCTCTTACATAAAAAAATAAAATTAGAATAATTCTTCTCTTACAGAAAACCTGCATAATTAAAATTCTGGTTGCTTAAGATTTCCAGGTATATTAACACATTCACTGCTAATGATATGTAATACTTTTATAAATGGCTAAAAAACATAAACATTAACATGATCATGATTATTGAGTGACAATATATCTTCAATTAAATAAATTTTATACTATAAATTGTGGATTAAAATATATTATGTAATTATATACATCATGTATTATATATCTGCTAATATACTTATGACGCACAAGTGCGTCATTAGCAGTGAACGTGTTAAGTTCTGGTTCTATATGGTTAACTGGTTCTAAAAGAAAATTTATGATTAGTCCCACCCTTGATTAAAAAATGCTCAACCATTAAAAATCTATTGATTTTGCAGAAGCAAACTAGCAAACTTCCCACCATGCGAGCGTTTAACCACTAAGTTGCACTGTTATTCTTCTGTAATGTAGTCTCCTTAAAATCACAATATAATATTTGAAGACCAAGCTATTCAAGAGAAACCTACATTTAAAACGTGATTAAAAAGAATGCAACAATGTTTTTGTTTAGTCCCCTGAGAAAAGTGCAATAAATGAGCCTCGTCAGAAGCTCTTCAGATGATGTTGCGATGGATCCTGTGGATGGTTCCCTGGCATTACGCAGAGTCTCTAGGAGACGTCCATGTAGGTGCAGCTTTAAATGTCTTCACATCGTTTGGCGACCTTGGAGCAGAGGTTAAGATCTCAGGTCAAGAAAATCCTTGGTATTCAGACCTACGTTCTGCAGATGTCTTTGAGCAAGTTCTGGAAACCAGGAGGTGAGTTAAAGAATGAAAATTATTGTCTAATCCTGTCTAAACTATTTGAATATTAGAATACTAAACTAGATTACATTTTGCCCAGAACCTAGGGTGCGTAATTTAAGGCCATGATGAAAGGTGTCAAAGCGTGAGGCTCAAAATTTAAATAAAATCTCTCAAAGAGTCTGTTAGGTAAACAGTTTTAACGTGAGAATGGATTTAACATTTTTGTTGCTACACTCTCTAATATTATTTTGTCTTAACTCTTTCACCTCTCTTGTCAGCCATGAACTGACATCGGCCGTTTCGTAACCGTATCACATTAAGGCTATAATTTGAAGTTAAAATACTGGTAGGCTTAATGCTCTGCTTCATAAATTTAACCTAGGGCATGGGGGCGGAGCCCTAAAATGAGACTTGAAAAGGGTTAAGGCAATTATACCATTGAGTATACAATACATGTATACTAAAATTGTTATTTGTTCCAGCCCAATTGTATCTCCTGACTCAAGGTTCAACGGAGACTTTTTGCTGCAGTTGTGCGATGACGTCACTCAACTCAAGGCCGCATTGTTCCTCTCACACAAACTAGAAGGCGCAGAGAGGCCGTGGCGAGCCTTTGCTGGAGGTTGGAGTAGATCGTTGACTGCCGCACACCTCGGTATCAACTCCAGTTATCTGCTCGGCAGTCATGGCTATGTCTTGGTGAAACTCACTCGTCATCACGAACAGGTTTGTGTTGGAGTTTAGACAAGATAGGCGATTATGTCACAGAGAAGTAATAAAAAAAATTAATGCAGAAGTAATTAATGTGAATGAAATAATACAGAAGAAACATTCAATGGTACACTTTTAAGTGGTGCCTAGCATAGTTGCCGCTGTCTAGGGCAAAGTTCAACACCGCCCCCTTTGCCATCGTGTTCTACCCCCCCTACCTCACCATGACGTCATTGTCTCCCGCGGTCATGCAAAACCCTGAATAAACCAAACCCCGTGGTAACTGATTGTCATCATTGTCTTCCGCGATCGCAGCAAAATCATGAACAACTCACCTGTAGATATTATGGTTCATTATCGTCTTCCTCCGTGTTCGCGGCTAAATTCTGATCATCTCCCGCTCTCTCTTTCATGGAAACGTCATCATCGTCTTTGCCGATCGAAGCAAAATTTTTTCCTGCGGTTTAGTATACGTCATCATTGTTTCCTGCGGTGATGGCAAAATCCTGAATGTCTTGCTAGGTAACAGAATCATCATCATCGTCTTTCAGGATCACGGCAAAATTCTGATCATTTTCCGCAGCATTGTAGACATCGCCATTGTCTCCCGTGGTCACAGCAAAACACTGAATAACCTTCCTGGTAACGGATAATTATCATCATCTTTGCCGGTCGCGGCAAAACTTTGAAAATATATACAGTAAAAAATATATGCCCGAGGGGAGGGCGGTCCCCCCTTTGCCCCCCTCTGGATCCACCACTGGTCACAACACAAGACCTGCCGCTCGGGCTATTCTTTGCATGTCACAAGAATATTTCTAGCACAAGATACTAGAGCTGAAAGCACACGTTCGTCCCTCAAGTAAGTTTTCTCTGTACCTTATTTCTTTTTGGTGACGTTTATTGTTTGTGGCAGTTGAACACTTATTAAAAGATATGATATCGATATGTGTTGTAGTAGAATTTGTTTGGATACATCTATGCCAAAATACTTACCATAATTATAGTCCAATTGTGTTTACCATGCAAAATAGGTCTTGTAGGAGATACGTCATACTGTACATACTAAAATTACCAATACCATCCAAGGGGTGTGCTCGTCTTCAAATCCGATGATTTCTGGTAAGATTCCAAGTAAGTTGGATTCTTGGTGGTCTTGTTGCAAGACTACGGTTTGTACCCAAAATAGATATACACATATAGAAACCACCCTTTTTACAGTATAAAACTAATATATTATAATTTTTTTTTCTCCAGAAATAAATTACTGTATTATTCAACTTCCAGGTAATGCTAAGTTCAGATGATGATCCACATTTCAACCAATGGACTGAAGAAGGGGCAAGCAAAGTAGTTCCTGAACTCCCCGAAACTGTGTTCAACTTCATCCACAAATTTGGATCTCATTACGTCAACTCTTACGTTTCGGGAGACTCGCTGTATCAGGTTTGTAAAATATGTTATGTTTCGTTTAAATAATTTACTCTTATAAAACTGTTGATAATTTTATGTTTAAAAAAAATCTACCAAGGAAGTATGTTTTATCCATGGTACTAGATAATAGGGGAAACACCTATTAAATCTGTACAGAATGATCAACCCTTAAGAAAACTTATGTGAATTGATTGTCCGCAGGGTAATGACAGTGTGCTGTTTTAATGTGATCATAAACATAGTGCCATTCAAAGTCTTAGCCAAACTGTTCCACATAAAAGGGAGTCTGCTATAAAATAGTTGGAACTACTTTGTTCACCTTTTCACTTTGTTTGACAGGTGTTTGTCTTTGCTCCAACGGTGTATGAATATCTTCACAAGGCGATGAGAGACTACGAGGAAACTGGACAAAGCCTCGACCAGGCAAGTGTTGATAATATGTATTATTCATTGTTAATTTTTTTTCAAGTTTCAAAAGAATTTCTAATGCTGTATTTGATTTGATGGTTTAAGCTCAAGGAGCTAGACATAGATTTGGTACATAAAATTTAAAAAATTCTCAGCTGTTAAGCTATGTTTTAATGGTAGGATCAAGACATGGAGGGGATAGATTTCTCCTCATAAAACGGCCTAAATTTAGTAAATAAGTGTATTTATTGTATGATGGCTGCAAAATTAATTGTGTCTAAAAACAGAAATCCAAATTATTCTTTAGCAGGTTTTTGGAGCACAATACATACAGTAAGGTTAGGGAAACAGCTTGTTTTTAAGTGCAACTCAAAAATAATCTACCAATACCGTCTATTGTTATTGAATCTAATAATCCCTCAAATAACTTAAACTTCCAAAAACAAAAAACAAAAAACACAAAGAACTGACTCTCCGGTTGCAGCATACGTCAAGCTATTTTTGTTGAACCATACTCCCATAGCTAATAGTAAATTGAAATGTGATTTGCTTACTCTCGCGTCCAATATATTAAACTTAGGAGCTTTAAGAGTTAATAGGATCTTTTGGCACAGGTGTTGGAGTTTTTCACTCCCTGGCACACAGAACATATTGGCCGAATCGTCAGTCTCAGTGGGAACTACTCCGTGGAGCGATGGGCAGAGCAAAACCTTCGCAACAAGGCGCTCGTCTTCGACTACTCCAGTCTCCTTGAGCTCCATTACGCTCCGGAGCGACTCCAAGTTTTGGATCTGATGATGGGTAACGACGCTCTTCTAGAAATGGAGCTGAAGTCACTCACTCCGTTCATCTCAGACAAGAGAAAACAGCTGTGGTTCTCAGAGATATTGAACAACCATATGAAACTGTGGGAGATCAGCGTTTGACAATTGTTTGCATGAATTTAAATTATTGGTTTTAGCATGTTCCTAAGGAAACCACAGTTTACTAGCGTCTAGACTGCCAGTGCAAGTCCGAGGATCGGAGGATCGTGGATCAGATCAGTAGATCACCCCCCACCACCGCACCATGTCGTACGCTTCCGAATCATACCTGCGCATCAGCATAGCTTATCTAACTGTTCGCGGAAAATTGTTATCGGTATCACTGTCGCTTTCAAAACGTATAATTTGTAGATTGAATTTGAATTAAATATAATTAGCCTAAACTATCATAACCTAACCAAACTAACCAAACTTGCTGATAATGATAAACTCGAATGAAGGTTTACTAATCGAAAAATAGCTCTGTTCTAAAAATAAAATTATAAATGTCTCAAATTCAATTTTACAATCTTTTAATTATAAAATTAAACTGTCATAACCTAACCAAACCAACCAAACTTGCTGATAAGAAAAAAATTTTTGACAAAAAGTTAGTGCTCCCGGTGGGATTCGAACCCGGCACCTTCAGATTATCAGCCCGACACGCTATCCACTACACCACAAAGGCTCATGACTCAGTTCCGTATCGTTGCAGTAATGGTTGACGCCACGCTATCAGCACTGAGCGGTGGTGGGGGGTTTTTCGATCTGATCCACGATCCTACCGATCCTAGGAGTTGCACTGGCAATCTAGATGCTTATCCACAGTTTGAGTCGTGGTAAATTGGATTTTATCTTTATCAACCCGCATCAACTGCAATTCAATAATCCATGTTTTCTGCGAACTTGGAAACTTCAGCCCATCCTTTTGACAGTAAAAAACCGGAATCGTGCCCATGCATTTCTAGTTTTGATTTGAATTTTGAACTACACGGGAAACTCACAAAGGAAAATTAAAATCAACGTAGCCCAAGTGTAAATGTTCATTTTTGTTATATTAGTTTTATTTCTGCAAAAATTCATCTCGATTTGTCCAGTAACTGGAATGGCTGGGTAGCCGAGTGGTTATAGTGCTCGCCTAGCAATTGAAAGGTCGCTGGTTCGATCCTGAAAAAAGCCAGTAGCTTTTTGATGGTTCGAAAATGATCCCAGCTGTTCCTGGTTATTGGGATTGTCAATTCCACTTCAAAATATTGGTAGGAAGTAGGATATGTAGAACTGAACGTAAATGTAGGTACTTTATAAACTGTGCATTATAATAACATAATGACTTCATATGTTATAAGAGGTTCATATTCTAGTATTATTTTTGTGTTCTTTTATGGTTAAATAGTATACTAACGTATACGTTATGTGATATGTTTATATTTTGTATATCTTGTACATAATGAATATATTTTATTGTATTATTCAAGCTTTTATTCCAACCCCTTATAGTCATCAGTTACCACAGCTATGTTGATTTAATGCCGTTGACAACTTTATTATGAATGAGATTTAAAATAAAAACATACTTGTACGATGTATCCATGCAGTTATAGGATTTTATTGATAAATTTCATTAAAAACCAATGTTTGACTTTATGACACACAAAACCCATGGCAATCAAAAATAACATCATAAACTGTGAATAAATTTCTCATTCTTGAGGAAAATCTGAAACACATATTTTTACTTCGCTCCAGAAATATATAGCAAGGTAGCTCAGTGGTGGCGTTTAGAAGAAGATAGAAATGTCGCGGGTTCGATCCTGAGAAAACCCAGTAACTTTAATAGTTCAAAACTGTGCTCAGCTTCAGCTGTCCTTGATAAATGGTCCTGGCTAATAAAACAGCTGATCAGCTGATTAGTAATGAAGCACTTCACATCCATTCAATTCCCACATTTCTTTCATCATTGGTTTAAAAACTCCACACTGGCGGGTTAAAGAAAGGTTTAAGGTTAAAGTATGAATTTATTCCAATTAAATGCTTCATTTTAGGTGGCTTTGAGTGCCTCGATTTCAACTAAAGACTCTTTCTTTTGGGGTGAACTTCACAGAATGAATTACAATCAGAGACATTGTAGACCAAAAGCATTACTTTACAATCAAATGGTTTTATTTGGTTGAGAGCATTTTAAAGTTTTAAATGCAATCTACAACTAAATGTACATCAATTAATATAAACTAAACACAAAACAAAACTATTATTTGCCTTTATAGCTTTCAGTTAATTTTGCTACTTTTTAAAAATTAAGTTAAATAGTAATATAACCAGAATTTAAACTGCTTCCTTAAGAACATAAAAATTCTAATGCGCAGAAACTATCTTCAACTTCTATTCTAGGAAATAAAATCAACAAGAGAGTATTTTAATGCATTATAATGTGGTAAACTTATTAAATTGTATATTTTAACCCATTATTATATCTGTTAATTTTTATGGTCGCAGACTTAGCCTAAACTTGAATTGATTTTGGTCATGTTTCAAAAACGCCTTCGAGCATTTTAACGCAACCCACAACACAAAACTCCAAATGCGTTTCAAAATTTACACGCGCCTCTCTGATTTTGGCAGCATTTCGGCAAATTCAGGCTCAAATGGTAAGCACAGTCGATAATGACCATCTTTTATTTTGTAAAATTAGGCTTGTAAGGTTAAAAGGTAAAATAAGGCATCAGCGACCATAGAATTAAAATTAAAACCACAGAGGTCGTCGGTTTGCATAGTAGAATTCACGTAAAGGTAATAAACAGAATTTTTATTTCGTATACAGAACAACACGAGTCTTAAAAATTAAATGCTTTGATGCATCTGGAAACTATAAATATCTCCTCGACACATCTTCCCGCTGTTTTGAATGTACCCACTATTTTAAAATCCATATTGTATTTTAAAAATTTCTGTTCATAGAAAAGCTTACTATAGTCCTCGCCACCCTAAGTTGAGGCAGCCAATGGCCGCACTAGATATACGCCGTGCGGCCTTGGGCTGCCTCAACTTAAGGTGGCGAGGACTATAATTAAGGCACTGTTTGGTTTCCTATGTTAGATTATAAATGACCGATTGGTCTAATTAGCTCAATGATAAGGAAAAGGTTAAATTTAAGGTATTTTAGTCGTTGTCAAAAGTGCCTACAATTGTCTAACGCAACCTGCAACGCTGTATATTACTCGAATTGCGTTGTAAAAATTGTAGGCTCCTCTCAAATCTGAAATGAATGATTTAATGTCATTAAAACTACAAAGTTCATGTAAATCGTCAAAATAAAAACAAAACAATCAAGATGGTTCTGGCATTATATCTACTAACATATTGAATTGCTTAAGCATAAATACCATTTGTGACAGTGGAATAATTACAACACTCAAATTACAAGTACAATACTTACTAACGGCAGGAATAAGCTCATATGTTGGCAACCATGTTTTTCCTTCATTGCTGATCAGCTGATAATCAGTCAAAAATGAGAAAAACATTTTCACCCCATAAAACTCCGATCCCATGGTCCGATCATGCTAGTTCGCAAACTTGTTTAAGTTTATCCCCCCTTACATCTTTAAACCAAATCTCATCAAAATCAGATAAAAATTACTCAAGTTATCGCGTTCACGGACACACACACACATATATAAATGGATATTTGTATACCATACATAATATGTATATATTATGTATATAATATATATACCGGTATTATATTATATAAATATGTATACAAAAGGTGTTTTTGGCCTCTGGGGATTTCAAAATGAAAAAGCAAATCGGTCCCGGGCCTAGGTCTTACCGTGCTACCTACGGTAATAGCTACTTCCCTATAGGGAATTCGCCAAAAGTAAATATAATTTTTTAATTTCAGATGGATGTTTCTACATACAAATTGTCTAGCATTAACATTGTGCTACTTTTAATTTGTGCCTTTGTTTCCCTTTCTTACGCTGACTGCATTAATTAAATCCGCCATGAAGATTGCAGGAACAAAAATATAATTGTAACCAACAAGAGAATTCCGACTTTTGATCACCCCTAAAAAATTATTCAAAACATTTTATAGGTACCAAGGCACCAATACTGTTTCCTAGATTGGTGTTTTACCAGCCCGAAACCAAAAGTGTAGGAAATGTGGTGAGTAGGAGGAGACAGCATTCCACGTGATAGTTATGTGCCCAGCCCTACAAGGTCTGGGTATGGATCCCTTGGCCTATCGATTGGAGATCAAAGGGAAGAACGGGTCACCATAGTCAAAAGGATCTCACGGTTCACGTAAGGGCCTGGCATTAGACGTAGAATGAGGACTTGTGAATGAGGGTGCACAATAAGCTGTTCCAGCTGCGATGCAATCCCATGGTTACTTGCAAGCCTGGCCCTCTGTTAAAACAAAAGTGGGTTCGCCCCCCCCCAAAAAAGGCAGGTCCCTTTTGTCTGAAACCTTACACAGCTTTGGTAAATTTAAATTTTAGTTATCCTGCAGAGGACGTCTATGGTACATCTGATTCGCATAGGATGTCTACTTGTTTTATCCAGCCAGTGATAGAAGTGTCCTCAAGGATTCCAAGGATTTGCCACTCATTCATCCAGTCATGGTAGATGAAGGACCTTGTGTGGGTGTCCAGGTAGGTGAATGAGTGACGTCAAAGAGGTGTGGGTTAGGAGTGGGTAGGAGCACGCAGGTTGCTGCTGCGTGGGTGTCGCTCCTTGTATGGCAAGGTGCATACAAGGATTTCTTCCTCCTAGACCTTGCTGTGAACGAAAACGAATTCCCTGATTTCTGTGTCGACAACTTTGAAAACAAGATTATCAATATGTAATTATTACTTTCTCTTCATTCATAGTTTTTATTGAGGAGCTATTGCTTACGAAAATATCCGAGTTTGAGTTTTGGTGGGAAAGATCTGTTTTGAGACCCCCTAAACCAAAAAGTGGTTTTCAAAATCATATCTGTGTGAGTATGTTTGGTTGTGTAGAGGACCACCATAAAGCACAGGATTTCTATTCTGTGCTACCCTTACACACAATATGTGGCGCGATTTTGATGATATTCGGTATGTATTAATCCATGGTATATCCAGGGTTTTAGCGAATTTACCACATAGGGAATAAGCTATTTATTATTTGGACATTCTGATTTTTAATGCTGATTTAACGTAAAATAAGATTTTCACAAAAACTCATTGAATGATTTTGATGAAAATTTGGTCACCTTTTACTCAAAACAAAGTGTAGGCTATAACCCTATTGTTGTAAATATCCAATATCACAGTTCAAAATTAATAATTGTATTTGTTGTGATTTTATCAGTGAAATGTGTTTGTTACTCCCACCGCTCATCCATTCTCCGCTCTTGTCGGTCACGTCCACGTCACTCTTTCCACCCAAGGAGACGGGGCTCATTAAGGTTTTGACAAGCTTATGGAAGAACTTATGTGTCAATTTGGTGATGCAATTTGAATTTATTTGAAACTGTTTACGGTGTTAGCAAAACGGGAGTGCCGATGGAGACCTGTAGGGGTGCGTGCGTTTGAAGGGACTTGACCTGGTCTCCATAGGCACTCCCGTTTTGCTACCACTGTAGTTTTCTAGTGCTTGAGCTTGCAGAGAATAAAAAAAATGCAGTCCTAAGCTTTGACAGCTTTTTGATGTTTCACAACTGGACCCAGCTGTTTAATATTAAGACTTTCAATTTAATGTTCTTGACTAAAGATCCAGTAGACCTTGTGGTTGGTGACGACAAAGCTATAATCTTCCATTCAAAACTTCGCTTTAAAATCTGCACTCTTTTATTACCTTTGAGATTTGTACCAAACGTGTGATATTACGTTGTTCTGTATGTACTTACCACTGTTGACTATATGGTACCTAGTGTGTGATCGGTGCACTGATTTCGAGCACTCACTGAAGCGGCAGTAATGGGATCGCTAATCCTGTGGTGATTTCGAGCATGGAACCTCCAGGTCTGGAAGGACAATGCATCTATCTGTTTATTGATGAAATAGCTACCTTAAAATATATCATTGATTTTGGATCCTAGGCAGCCTAAATAGGTGTTCACAGTCTGAGTTAACAAAAACGTACTACTGTATTATACAGTTCAATTTTGTTTCTTAATTAAATTATGGGTGTGAAACCATTTTAAGGCTTTTTCAAAGAACCAACTTTGTATCTTTTGCATACTGATCCCGTTGCAAGTTTTGTATAAATGTCTAAATCAAAATTTATTCGAACGAGTTCGTGAACAAGCATGATCTGACCATGGGGACGGAGAATTATGATGGTTTTATAGGGTGAATTTGGGTTTCCCTATTTTTGAGCGTCAAAACTTAGGATTCCCCGATTTCTTTTCACACAATTTTCGAAAGTATGTTTGTACGGTTAAAAGTTCAAATTAACAAATTGAAAATTGATTCAAATAATTTAATCTATACGAAAT